TTGGGCCAAGGTGGCGACGAGCAGCCAAAACATAACACCGGCACGCACGAACGCAGGAAGAGCTGCTGAACGAGCCTTGGTCGGGTATTGACCTAATCTGGTAATGCAAGCAGGCGCCGCGTTTCCAGCTGCAACCGTGAAAGACGGGGGCACTCTGAGAGTTGTTGTTTTCGTGTTGTCTGTCTTTAGTGAGTTCTGACTCAAGCGGTAGGTTCCACGGGAGGCGCCTCTGGAATGACCTCGCAGCTGGGCGCCTTGCCGTCAGCGCATATGCCTTTGCAAAGCCGGACTCCCCCGCGCACAAACCCTGGTACGGATAATCCGTTCATGGGAGCACGTTCCCGCTTCCAGCGACGATGCTTGTTCACGTAATCCTTCGCGTCCTTCCGACCATCCATGCCTGGGAGACCTCTTTGTTAGAAACGATTCAGGCGCGTCAAAATATTGTAGTCGCCGGCGAGGATTGCGAGTTACCCTTGGGAGATCCTTTTGTTGGACCCGGCGTCAGCGGCGAAGTATACTTCGGTTCATCTTCTGTTAAACCAAAACAATTTTTTTTTTCAGTACCGTACCCCTAGCACTACAAGGGGACGCGCAGTCGTCCGGATGATCTCATCGTCGTGGCGCGAGACTTGAACCCTTGACGGTCTGGTGCACTCGCTCAGCGTACTCTCAGAACGACGTCGGAATAAAGAGGGGCCAGTCATAACAATCTCAACTTGACGAAGAAAAAAAAAAAAGGAGGAAAGTTTGTTATAAAAGACCCTCTACCCGAGGCAAACCTCACATGTTTCGTCATGGACACCTAAGATGCCGACACTCGCTTACCCGACCCTGCACAGCCTGTTTCTCAAATTCAATGGTGCCGTTCCATCCAGCCCGTCGGTGGAACGTATTTAGAAGGAAAAGGGGAAAACTCTCCTATCAAGAACTTTGAAAGTCAATTGCTTCTGCGAGCGAATAAACTATTTTGGCGAAAACGCAAGCCATGAAATGGCTGCATTTATTTTAGGCTCGCAGGGTTTTTCATTGATCAAAACTTCTGTTCATTTTGCTACTACAAAAATATAAAAAAAGTAACTTCGAAAGTAACTTCAAAGTAACTCGTTACTTTTTACAGTAGTTAGTAGTTTACTCAATTACTATTACGAATGCGTAATTTCTACTCTACTCCAATTACTTTTGGCGTCGATACTCAGTAACTTAACTTAACTACCTTTTTTGAGTAATTTGTACATGTCTGGTTCTTGGTCATCATCGTACTGCAAGTGATTGAGAAAGAAATCACACTGAACAATTCCTCCCGTGCCGTTGACTTGCGAAAGTGACGGTGCCAATACAAGTTAATTTCCGCCATTGATATGGCAAAACCTAAACTGCTTTACAAACCACCAGATGGCATTGAATTTCGGAAAGGGTCTATTGCACTTACAAGCTGCACTGGGAAAACAATAAAAAAATATACAAAAGAGACGGAACTGGTACCCTGAAACAAATTATATACTCCCAAAAGCAATAACTGGTTTTCACTCAGGAAAATATACTGGTGACAGCACACTTCATCTAGTTAGTTCTGTCGAAGAGAACCATGCAGAAAGCGAAATCACCGTTGGAATCTTCCTTGACATCAAACAAGCGTTCGCCCTTCTCGAGCACAAAGCTATACACACCGCTTTGAAAAGAATAAAATAAGTGGAGGGAACATGTTCCATTGAATTCAGTTACCTAAGTGGAAGAACAATTTTCGTCAAAACGAATGATAACTACACAAACAAATACACGGTATCAAGAGGTGTTCCCCACATTATGAACTAGGTACAACTTTTTTTTTTCAATTTTTTTAATCATATCGATTGCCAGCGTCATCCCTGAAAACGTTGCGGCAAGTTGTCTTCAAGAAGTATTACACTTGGTTAGCCAATAATTATTAAGACTGGGAGTCACCCGGTCGGTAGAGAAGACAACAGTCATGGCATTAAGGAGAAAATCAATGCGAAGCTATCCTGTTCTCTAAGCAAGACATTCTCTGTGATACGTTAATTCCTGCAAGTATCTTGGGGCATAATTTATCGGAACCTTACATGGACACCTGAGGCAACCAGAATAAGAAACAAAATGATGCGGTCATTAGTTCGACAAGAAAGCGGCAGATTGGCACTGGGAGTACTTGGAAAAGGGAGTACAGGGGGACCTGGGCTGGTCGTCGTTTGAGAGCAGGGAGGCAATTAGTAAGTTGAAATTTGAACAAAGGTTGACCAAAATAGATGATGCGCGGTGGGCACGGAAGGTTTTGAAGTATTTATACATAAAAAAAAAATTAAAAACGTTTACAAATCTTTGTAACGCGAGATTAGGGCGCAGCTCTTGGGGTATTTTGATTTTGCGATATACAGTGACGTGAGCGTACGCAGGAGGAGGAGGAGAGCAGGGTACAGAGGACGAGGAGGTTAGGTTGCATAGGACCCTCCCCTCATCCTCCTCTCCTCCATCAACTCCACTTTTTCCATAGTTTCCCCACTAAATTTAGCTGGAAAATTGACGCCACGTGACCTCCAAACCAATTCAGTTTCCCCGCTAAATTTAGCGGGGATATGACGTCACATGGACTTCGTGTCACGTCACTTATGAGCGAATGCAGTTTCTCAGCTAGATTTAGCGGGAAATTTGAGGTCACGTGACCTCAACACCAATTCAATTCCCTCTAAATTTAGCGGGGAAACTGAAGTGTTGAGGTAATGTGACGTCAATTTTCCAGTTAATTTAGGGGAAACTGAATGCGCAGTGTTGCAACAGACCTACACACCAATTCAGTTTTTTCGCTAAATTTAGCGGGGAATTGAATTGGGGTAGAGGTGTGTGATGTCCCATAATGCAACGCGCGCTGTTATCCCAACGGCGAAGCCGCGAAACATGGGAACGAGCGCCTAAGAGCTGCGCTCTAAACTTTAAACACAAAATGGACAAACCGCCCCCGAAAGCTTAAATTTAAATACCTACACACTTGTGAGGGGGTGAGCAAACTATTTGAGTGGAAAAGGGAGTAAAAGAGCAGAAAGAAAAATGCGCGAAGTAAGGATGCAGGATAACTCAGCTCTAACAATGCGCAGGACACAAAAACAGGACATAAGAAATGGAAAAAGTGTTTGACAATTCACTGAGAGGTTCCGGGTCACAGCGGGATTAGCGGAAATGAACAAGCTATCAAAGCGGAAATGAACAAGCTAACAAGACACCTAAGGCAGCTAGGACACAAACTGCGAAAGCTCACAAATATTTCATTAACTAAAAATGGCATAAAACGCTCCACAAAAGAAGTAGTAAAGGCTATGACTACGCAAATAATATCACGTGCACATCAAAACAGCAACTTGCATCTAGATTATCCGTAATTAACTACGCGTCTGTCAAATAATCCACCCAGAAAGCTGGAAACCTTGTACCATAGGCTGCGACTTGAACGAGCCCATACCTGCAGCTTCAATTTTCTTCTTGGCCGGACTCATAATCCAAACTTCAATACATAGTACTGACTAAACTTGTATGCGCAAACACAAAGGACGAACACAAAGGAGTGGACAAGGATAAGCACTTGTCCTTGGCCACTGATTCCGGTTCATTCTGTGTTTGCGCATACAAGTTTACTCAGTACCATAAACCAACTAGCCCAATAACAAGTCTTGCTAAGCTGCAATAAATGCAAATGCAAGACGTTGAACATTTGTTATGCGCATGAGGTACAAAACCGAACGAAAAAACATGAAAAAGGCGGTTCAACCGTTAGACCCACGACCATTTACAGTGGCAAAAGTCCTGGCATCATCTTATCATCCTTAAAGTCTCTCTGTCTGTCTGTCGTTTCGGGTCCTCGCCACTCCAAAGGCTGTGCGCTGACTACAGGCTCCCCAAGAAATGCTCTGTGCTACCAAATCCTCGCGGTCCAAATCTGCGACCGGGAACTCTATGGTTCTGCCATCGAACTGCCAGGCTTTGAGAGTAATAGGAGGCTATGAAAACGTAACTTTATTTTTTTTTTTTTATTCTTTAGTGACTTTACGTTTTGTCACGCTCTCTCGAATGTTTAACTATCACTGATGATCACTTTTTCATCATTAAAGGGGTACACTTAGCGTTGGAGCATAGCTCGATCCTAAAGCCCCTTGAAGTGATTGCGTTTGTCTTGCAAGTAGCGTCAAATGCACCAAAGTCCGATGCCCGTGCCTCATGCAGATCTTGGAATGAATTTTATCGAGGGGATTAACATCATCCAATCCAACCACTTGATCTGTGGGCGTAGCTCATGGCTTTGCCGACTTTAAGAACGTCTAAAAAAAGCTTCAAAACATGGTTGACTCACAGCAAGTGCAATACGCGACACTGCTACCGTGAACACGACATCGACTATTTTTTGCAGTTTATGCGGAAAGGGCGCTGACGGGCACCAAACTTTATAGCTTAGATCAGTGCACGTATTGAGCCCTTTGGACCACATCACTCAGATGACCAGAAGGAAAGGGACGAGCTTGAGCTGTCCCAGTGCGAGCTTCCTGCCTTGGATGACGCGTCTCGTGAGCGTCGAGCGTGCACTCGCAGCCAGAGAACGGCGAGAAACAAGGTGCGCGTGCTGGAGGTGATCAAAAGGGACGCCCTGCCCTTCTCACCTAGTCAGTGACTAAATTCGTCTCGAGGACAGCCTTTCGATTCTACAAAAAAACACTGGCCGCATGTTTGCGCTAACAGTCTCCCGTTATATGCAGGTGTTCGCGATAGGTAGGACGATCTTAAAGCCATGCACATAATCTCTGACTCCTCAGTCGTGCAAGTTTTGCTCGTAAATACGCGTCTAGCAAAAAAAAAAAAAAAAAAAAAAAAACAGGCAACGCAGCAAAAGTAAAAGTAGCGGAGAGAGCGGGGGGTTTGTGTGCCACTGTTTTATTAGCGAGATGCGTGGAAACAATTTTCCCTGCGAAGCGACGCTCGGACTGCGAGCTCAAGGTACGCACAGTTTCCTCTCGTTGCTCAGGATGAACCTGTAGAGGAAGTTGAGCGAGTAGTAGGCCGCCAGGTAGACCCCCAGGTCCGGCCACACCAGCTTGTAGATGCTCCCTTTCCACCTGAAAGGAAGACGGCAGTTCTGGCGACCCCTCCTTGGCAACGAAAGTGCTAGAGTTTCCCCGCCCAAAGGTCAGCGCGAGCTACAGGTTGTACAAGAGCGCTGTGTCATCGTTCGAAGGGACCTCGAGTATCAGCGAGGACTCCAGCACAACGCTGTCCCATCTCTTCCTCACGCCTCCGGTAAGTGAGGGTCCAGCATCCTGCCATCTGTTGCACGTTAATGATAACATGCTCTTCCCACAAAGCCTTCCACTCTTTCCACTATTAGCAGAGCAAACGCCGAAGAGGAGGAAGTTACTCAGTATAATGAGCAGATTGTCGGAGGGGCTTTAGAGGGGAGAGTCGCCGGGAGTCACGTGGCTACACCCGACCGCGTTTTTGTTTTCTTCGTTTTTTCGGCCGTGCGAAACACACGAAAAACGCGCAAACGTGAAGCACTTGGTGCTTGACGTTAGCACGTTTTTCCAAGCTGTCTTCAGCCAGGAGAAGGGGCGACCACTCGGCGACGTCTTCGTGCGAAACTGCTTAGTGGTCGGTCGTGTCGTATGGAAAAACAAACCCTGATTGTTTTGATCGGTAAAATATTTCTCTTTCGAAGCTGGACAGATTCGCCGGTACCGCGAACGACAGTTCTGAAGTAGAGGCGACACGCCCGCCGTCCAGTTCGCTTCGTCCAGCCGTCCGGCCCGGGACTCCAGCAATATGACGCCATGTTGAGAATTACGCAAAGTACTTCCGGCACTCAGTGCAACTTTTTTTTTTTTCAGTCAACGTATTTGCAGTTATTTAGAAGCCACAAAAAATGGGTTTCACACACTTTTCGTTATTTTTAAAATACTGAGTGTGTGCCTCCGATGTCCCACGACTTTGAATAGATTTGGTACGTGTGTCTGAACGGCATGTCACCAGAGAGAAGAGAGTGAGCGCGACTCAAAATGCCCATTTCTCGATCGGCTGTTTTCGGGGGGGGGGGGGGGGGGGGGGGACGAATTTTGAGTCGCAAATTGTGTTTTTGGTACTTGGCCTCTCATTAATCATATACAAATAAAAATCTTGGCAAGCATTAATACCTTGTCAGTGTCCCTTTAAAGGGGTTAACTCCGGCGATTTTTTGAGCTAACCCAACATACAATGTTTTCGGAATCAGCGGCCTTGACCCTTTCCGGCATGCTATTGGGTATCGCTAAATTCGTAACAGTTATTGTGAATATAGCCGCGGTTTTTGATGCCGTGACGTCAGAAGAATGCAGGCTTGCGGTCGACCGGGCAGGCTAAAAATGGACTATGCCCATCATTTGTTTCCTGCTGCTGCGCGGGTGCTGGAGTGAGCTTCCAAAGCATTCATTTTGGCACCATGAAACTGCTTGTAATAAGTTGGGAACAAACTTTGCAGTCTAAACAGTGAGCCCCGCCTTCCCCTGACGCAACGCTCTCACGTAACTTTTTTGTATTATTATTGCCAGTGGAAACTTCCACTTTGAAAAATACAGTGAGGACGAAAACTGTAAACTTAATAACTTCGCGGGAAAAAATATTTTGGTTCAATGTATGGGTTACTATTTTAGCGGTGTTTGTTGGTGTGTTCACCACATTTTCAGGCAAATCGGGGGCTAAGAAGAAAATACCGGAGTACGCCTTTAAAAGGATACTGAACCGAACATTTTATTGTACATAATAAATGGCGCACGATCTTTGAACGAGCCAACAGCCGCCGGTGGCGCGAACACACGGAACGAAATTGACGTCACAGTCCTCCATTCACGCTTAGAGGTATTAACATGAGGGACAATTTCTCCCCGGCACGCGCATCCCGCGACGAAAACGACAGGCTTTCCGATGTACAAAAGCCTCGCGTTTTCATCTCGTGATGCGCGCGTTCCGGGGAGAAATCCCCAGGATTTCTCCCTCGTGTGAATACCCCTTAAGGGGGGAGGCTGGTCTTTAACTTTTTGTTTTTTATTTTTCATTGATCCTGCTGAAATTTAGAATACTGATGTATTTCTCAGTGGTGATTTCAAATATGCAACTAGTTTTCAGATAGCTTTACTAGATCCCGAGTTATTAACAAATTTGTAATTTTCATTAGGTCATCCTTACGGGCCTTTAGCAAAAAATTGTTCAGAATATATCACAAATTTTTATAGGATTGCATTCACCAAGACATGTTTTGTGCGGTGATGCTATTTTAAGTCTAATCTAATTATATTACATTGGTAAAACACATCTGCAACCAAGTTGCACAAAACGGGAGGTTATACCTTTTTGAGACTAATTAATTAAAATTATTGTATGAGATAAAAAGCAACAAAAATAGCATCACCGCACAAAACATGTCTGGGGGAATGCAATTCTATAAAAATTTCCGATATATTCTGAAGAATTTTACGCTAACGACCCGTAAAGAGGACCTAATTAAAATGACTAATTTATTGATAACTCAGGATGTAGTAAAGCTATCTGAAAACTAATTGCATATTTGAAATCACCACTGAGAAATACATCAGTATAGTAAATTTCAGCACGATAACTGAAAGATAAAAAACGCGAAGTTAAAGACCAGCCTCCCCCCTTAAGATGACAGTGAAATGTAGGGGCCAATGTCGAAACGAGAATGAAGACAGGCTTTTCATCTCCACAAGTGAAAGCTACGTGCTTGTTAGGCCAATTAATCGCCTACCTTTTACACCAGACCCCAATGTGGAGATGAAAAGACTCTGTTCGTTCTCCTTTTCCCCGGAGCCCACACATTTCATTGTCATCTTAAGCGTGAATGGAACTCAGAGATGCTGGGTTCAATCCCCAGCCCCGCTTGTTTCAATCTGGATGAGCATCGTACCGGCGTAAGGTCGCGTATAACTAGTGCGTGGTGCACGCTAAGGACAACAGGCTAGCGGTTGTACTGCACTGGCTAAATTGCTCATCTACAGCTGTGAGACAAGTCGCCCATCGAGCCAGACTAACTTCCGGCTGTATAAACATGCACACAACAATTTTGGCTAAGCGTGAATGGTGGACTATGACGTCAATTTCGTTGCCTGTGCTCGCGCACACGCGGCGTGTGCTCGCGTTTTTGCTGCGCAACGTCAAAAGATAGACACTTCTTTTGCTTTGTTTTCCCAGTATTTATCAGGCTCGGCGGACATTAGATAAGGGGATCATCGTCACGGTAAGTTGTTAACTCCAATCTGTGAATTAACTTTTTTTAATTATTGGTTTTAGGGGTCATGTTGGAATCGTAGTACTGACGGCAATGACTATTAGAGGCGAAACCAATTTTTAAAAAGGTGGCAAAAAGACAATTGTTTTTTGTAGATATTAATTGATAAATTTTCGCACTTTTTATTGCGATTTCAAAATTGCGCTTTAAAATGGGGTTGCCAGTCCTGCCCACAATGACGCCCGAAGGCGTGACGCGATTAAAACAACTACGTCACTCTTTCGAACGTCGTCATAAGTAGGACTTGCAAAGGTTTTGTTTGTTTTTTTCGCAATCTTTACAATCGGGCGAAAAAACGCGAAAATTTATTCAGTAATATCTATAAAGCCGTTACCTTTTCGAACACTCTTTAAATTGTCCTGGCTTTTCACAGTAATTGCCGTCAATACTGCAATTCTTACATGGGCCCTAAAGCCAATAGTTCAAAAGTAAATTAACAGATTTTACTTAATTAGTGAGCTTACCGTGACGATTATCCCCCACATCTAATGTGAGCCGAAGCTGATAAAAATATGGTGTAGACGGCTCTCGTCTACCTTTCACCCCCTTAAAAAATAGTTCGAATTGAATTCGATCTCCCTGTATGAAACAGCTTGGCCTAAACCTCACTATGCAATTTTAGGGAACACTACAAACCGGAGCGCCTCTTGCGGCACGCCAACGGCGCCATGCATGTGCAATGGGGTGTTGGCAAGAAGCCCCGCGTTTCGCATCAACAAACCATTAGAATGTGATGTCGGCGTTGGTGTGAGTCCCCATGCTCTTTTTCGCGTTGCAATTGTTAATTCTACTACTTCCCAGCAGTGCCTTACTACTTTAGCGGCCTGAGCGAGATTAACAAGGCCCATTGCACCGCAAAATGTCGCGTAAATAATATCACTTGCGGCGATTCATTCCGCGTGAACCCCGCGGAATGGACGCAAAAGCCTGATTGACGATATTCTGCTCGCTACTCTCAGTCGCGACGTCGCTCGGGTTACAAATGCGTGGACCGTAGCTGCAATGCTCGACGTCGATACTGAAACTCGCAAGCAGAATCGGACGAAGTGAATCAAGCATAACAAGTCGGTGATTGCCACTGGTAACAATGATCAACATGTCCTTTGTATTTGCATTCCCAACTTTCAGGGATATCGTCCACTTGCAATATCTATCTCCTGACGCCAGAACCCTGTACAATTTTCAATGGGAACATTCGTAACATTCAGGGACATGGTTCACTTACGCCATCTATTTCTAGACGCAGGTACTCTCTAAACATTCCAATAGGAAACTTTGTTTTCTCGCCATAACAGAAAAATGAGGGCACAGTTATCAAAGCGCCTCCAGACATGTGTTCTTGATGAGTGTTAATAGGGAGTTTTAGAATAGCGCACGCAAAAGCTTTGCGTGCGCAAAGAACAGCGTCGTCGCCACTGCGCATGCTCCGAACGCAAACCAGATTTTGCGCTTTGCGTGCTCAATTTTAGCGTGCGCTATTTCTCAGAAATAGCGTGCGTACGCAAAGGGTCTTTGCGCTTCTCCAAGGAGGATTCGTGATGAGAAGTTGGCTAAAGCCAAGACGAGCAGAGTTGAAAAAAAATGGCGGCTTCCAGGATTATGTCAGCGGCTGCTTTGGCGGCGTCGTGAGTGCGACGTCGGCGGCATCCTCGTGACTGCGATTTTCAATACGGGACGACATTGTACTCGGTTTGACAACGATCACCGACAGCTTGATGCTTGTGACGCGTGAACATTTCTCGGCGAAGGTACGATGTGCGAAGGTCAGTACACGAGACCTCT